GAGGCACTCCAGTGCTCGAACAAGCGCCGTACTCGCCTTATTTAGCACCCTGTGACTTTTTCCTGTTTCCAAAGATCAAGTCTGCCTCAAAAGGAACCCGGTTCGAGTCGATGGAAGAGGTGAAGCGAAAATCGGCGGAGCTCCTAAATGCTCTTACAAAAGAAGACTTCCAGCATTGCTTTGACCAATGGAAAAAACGAATGGAACGGTGTGTGGCGAGGGAAGGGGAGTATATTGAAGGGGAGCATTCGATTGTAGAATAATTTTTAAAATAAAACTCTTTTTCATAATCAGTCTCGTTATTTAATAGCCAGACCTCGTACTTTTGCAGTAAATCCATAAATTTTACCTGATCTTTCTCTTCACACGTCGTGTCTTCTTCGTCGGAGGTCACAACGTTGCGTCGTCTTCCGCAATCGCTTTGTAACTATTCTGACATTTTATTGAAGAGGGTGATTCATTGATAAGAGCTCTTTCTAAAATCGTTAGCTGTTAGAAAATTCATTATTTTTTTTAGAATTGAATTATTTTATTCAGAACATAATGTAGGGTCATGTGTGAACAATGAACCATCCAAAATTTAAAATTGTCTAGATAAGTCCCCTTTTAACCTAGAAACACGAAATTGTACGAGTATCAGAAACACATATTTGTTATCTATTACACATAATTTGATTATCAATAAAGATTAATATTTTTGGGTTAATATGGTTTTCTTGTTTTAAGTGTCTTTGGTTCATTGTGTCCCACGGGTGGTACACATTGAACCAAACTATTTTATTTTAAACATAGCTAATAAAAATTAGGTTTACAGAAAGTTGAAAGAAAAATAGCATTGTTGTCGTTTTGTGCTGCCACATAGTTTTGGTCTCGGCAAAATATATTTCACATCTTTCTTGTTGACGAAAGCTATATCAGGAACATTGGGCGTAACAAACTGCTATTAAAGAGCGTAGGCGCAAAATTTCGGGTCAATGCTTTTTAAATGCATTCATTTTTTTCGAATCCTGAGAAAACTAATAAATATTTTTTAAAAATTTAAACGCAAAATGAAAGATTGCATTAATACCGAGGGCCAAAAGTCCCATAGAATAAACGAAACGTTTTTTTGAATGAGATATTTGAAATTAAACATCTTACTAAATTTTCTCTTCCTTTTCACCCCTGTAACTTATTCAAATAAACAGAGACTTTCGGCCCTCAGTAATAATGTAATATTTCATTTTGCGTTTAATTTTTTTAAAAATATTTATTAGTTTTCTCAGGATTCGAAAAAAACGAATGCATTTAAATAGCATTGGCCCGAAATTTTGCGCCTACGCTCTTGTCGTATAAATGATATGCAATATTCCCCATCTTGTTCTACCTGTAATATTTTCCCCACAAAATATACCACTGACTTTATTGGATGAAATTCTACGAAGACATAATCTTCTACGTTAGGGTTAAAACCTTGGGTACTAAACAAATTTGGATTTAAAATAGAAAGATCTTATTCATACTCTCCACTATCACTGCCACTCTCAAGAGTAATATCTATTTCATCCTCCTCTGAATCTGTATTATCGCCATTAACAAATTGGACTCTCTTCTTAGCTTGTCTATTTTCATTTATTAGCTTCTCTTTTTTAGCTTGCAATCTTTCTTCTTCGATAATGTTTTTTTCAGGTGTATCTATGGCATGTATCTCTGTATCACGCATAAATTATTGTGGTAGACTAAATGATGTTCCTGCTTGACTTTCTGTATGTTGGTAACTGTTCAGTGGAAAACCGGGAATCTTGAGTTCTTCCAGTTACTTGTTTTTAAATATTATTTGGACTTCCCGTGGTTTTATTAAAGAACAAAAGACCGTACATGAAACTATTTAATTACTTCTATGTGACTGTTATATAAACTGTTTTTATAATATAAAAGAAAGAAAACTTAATTATTTGTAATAACACAACTAAAATATTACAAATATAAATTAACACTACGTTGTTACATCTATGACTGGAAACCGAATAATAATGAATGAGGGTTGTTACAGGTAGGCTCCCAAAAGGTGAGTACTTCTAAAAATAAATCATAACGGTAATTTCTAATCTCCCTTAGCAAGGTCGTTGCCAAACTAAGCTATGCAGTTTCAAAGACGACAGGACCGTCGTCAGATCTTTTAAAGTTTTAACACTGTATGCTCGGGGTTTTCTGATTTAATGTTATTAGCTGCAGAACTATCATTTTCATTTGGCACAGTGGTTTCATCGTTATGTTCACCTCCTTGAAGGTCTCTTGTATTATTAGAACTTTCATCATTTGGACATCGTCTGTTTGTTACCTAAGCAAAAAGTCCTCGTCTGTAAAGATATCCCGATCAAAGGGATATATACCGCATTTTTTAAAGGCATGGGCTATATTTGAAGGAGTCATGGAACGGCTGTGTACTATTTCAATATATTCAGCTAAATCATAAATAGATATCGGCCTACCAGGATTTCTTAGAAGCCATGACTCTATGGCACCGTTATAATACGTCTTGAATGGTGCGTATAAACTAACGTCAAGTGGCTGTAATTTAGCCGATGCGTGGGGATGCAAAGTTATAATATTAACCCCTGCAGCTTCTGTTAAATCTAAGACTTCGATGGATAAATAAGATTAATAATTATCGAATATTAAAATTGATGGGTTATCAAAGCTTACCTTGAGAATTTTACTTGATGCGTCCAAATTCTTATAATCAGTTAAAACACGTGCACGTTTAGTGGAGGCAAACAACAACTGGTATTTAGTTCTAGGTTATCTATTACATTCGTACAGTGGTGCCGGCGTTTTTCTAAAATGCATTTTTTATAGCCCTTTTTCTATCCGAATTGTCGAATAAAGGCCTCTCCCATTTCTCGCCATTCATCCCTGTTGTGTGCTAGGCGTTTCCACATTGGTCCTGCGACTCTTTTGATATCGTCGCTCCAGCGCATTTGAGGTATTCCTCTTGGTCTCTTCGCATCGTACGGTCGCCAGTTTGCGACTTCTTTATTCCATCTACCATCTTCGAGACGTTCGTTGTGTCCAGCCCATTTCCATTTTAATTTAGCTGCTTGTTTCGCGGCGTCCTTTATTTTTGTTTGTAAAATGCATATTACTAACGAAAGATTTTTTTGTTCATTGTGTACGTATGGTTTATTGTTGAACAAATGACCATACTAGGTTAACTCATCTCTAGAGATGGCTCTCATGTATTGGATTCAGGGTAGAGGGGTGCATCCGAGCACATTTTTCCTTAGAAGAGGAAGGTCCTGCAAACAGATGCCTGTAAGGCTGACGATATTTTCAGAACACTATCTTCTTTTATCTACATCTTCTCTTCTCTGTCGGTGTAATTATGTATAATATTCCATCGCTCCTTACTTCTAGTCATCTTCACGATCATCTCTCTCAGAGTTACAAGGTTCTCTTTTTCTCCACTGTCCATCTATTACACTCCAGAATTGTGTAAGTAACAGTGTCAGAATATTCACAGTATGCATTTATCTGTATCTGTCGTTCTGATTCTATGAAGATATGTCCTAAAACACCCATGTCCCATGTAGCACTTGCATCAGGAAGTAATCCAGTCGCCTGTGACCACAGTCCACTCAGTGCCTTATGTTCGGGATCAGCATCTTGGTCCACTGAGCAACATCTTCCGTGTTATTCCAGTCTTCTTGCCATCTTTTTATAGATATTTCTCTTTCTTCTTTTTTATGGCTGCTATGCTGCATGCAGAGGAACGCAACCCGTGATAGTCCACAAGGCCGTTACAGATAAAGTCCTGTAGATGCATGCTACTTGCAATAGACCTGTTCTGTCTACTCGTATCGTGAGCCCTTTGTAGGTCAGTATCTCTATCGCCTCACCCCAGACTGGTGTCGCGTAAAGGATGACTGATTGCACGACACCCTATAAGGCCCTCCTCCTTTCTGATTTGGGTCCTTAAATGTTAGACATCACTCAACTTATCGCAGTCGCACTCTTCGCTGCCTTCTGAGTTACCACCCGTATATGCTCCCCCATCCGATATATTGGTGTAGTATCACTCCCAGATATTTGACGCTTTTCTTTGATGTTAGTTGTACACCTACACATTGGAGTTCCATCGCTTGTCTTTTCCGCTTACCGTTCCGTTAACTACGCTTACCGCGTTCTAACTTCCGTTAGAATAATGGGTATAGTCTTCTCTGCAGCGAGTTATAGTCCGTGGTCTGTATCCAGCCTTTCACGACGTTGCCCGTATGTCTTACCCGAAATCTGCAAAAGCGAAGAGAATTATACCTTCTCCATATTCGCAGCTTATGAGTCCGTCAAATGCCAGATTCCATAGCGTTGGACCCAAAACCGATCCCTGTGGGACTCCAGCCGTTTTTAAATGAGCCAACATCTACTACTTGCAGCGTTTTAGAAGCTGTAGCTGCCAACGTCAAAGTATCGGCACCATAGGTCATTACAGGAAACACAAATTAGTATATCGCTTTTAAAAATATCTTTGAGTTTTCTATAGGCTGCCCATGCTAGGTTTATTCTTCTTCATATTTCGCATGTTTGTTTGTCGTTTGTAATATGTATTTCGTGCCCAAGGTACACGTATTTTTCCACCAGCTCTACTTCGTTGTCTCCAATATTAATATTTCCACTAGGTACTAGATTTCTACTAAGACTACTAAGAGTTTGTATAGGTAACTAAGAAGACTTATAGGTCTGTAGTTTTTTCTGTCTAATAAATTACTATAAGAATATAAGCATTAGCGGGTAGTGTGGTATGTAATTTTACCAAGGATCTTTTGTAACAGTACTGTTTGTGCTTACGGTCTAGTACTCATTGCTATTTGTTAGAAAAATAACCTTTAACAACAGTTTTAAATATAACTACCAGTGATAGGTGATTGCAAAAAAAATATATTGAAGTTTAAAACATATACCCATAAAACCAGACAAAAGGTTTCTACAGAAGCGGAGCTGAAATTAGAATAAAAAAACTCTTAACAAATCATAAGATATTAATATGAAATAATAATACATCTTTTAGTTTTTTATTTAAAAAGTATACAAATTTTTGCACAAAAACAATTCAAATACATAATTTATAGTTTTTCATTCGGTTGCAGTTTTACCAACTTTTCCGAAGCGTTCCATATCTTCTTACAAAATATTTTGTCATGTGACCCTCGAGGTTTAAGACTTGGTAAGAACATACCAATAAACTCTCCAGTAACATTTTTATATTCTTCTGAAACTACGATATTCACTGCAGTTTGACTGGCATCTTTTGGAGTCTGAAATAATTAAAAGTATTGTGTAAAATAATCCAACAATTAGAAGAAGAAGGCGACTCATTGCCAATAACAAAATCTTAAGGCGCGTACTGACTTAAGAAAATTAACTCGCACGTACGCTGTGCGCGCACACACTCGTAATTTTATACAAGATATCAACATGGAAAGAGATCATAATCGCAAGTGCAGCCCACGTAGTAATTAATATTCTATTTAAACAGAAAAAAAAACGGGATAAAGCAATAATTTTTAACTAAAATCAATCTAATTACTATTTAACTGGGAATAAGCCACAATTAAAGATAAAAATACGTTTATTGACGTTTCAATTTCCACTTCGGAAATCGTTCTCAACATACAAACAGTAAATAAACAAATTTTGTTTTTTGTTACATAGTGAAAAATTCTTCTAATAATTTAATTTTATCTGACTCATTTATATTGACAATTCAGACATACATTATTCATTTTAAGTAGACGACTTTAAAATGATATTGCCAATATTGTTGAGTTGCGTTCCTGGGACGACTTTACTTATAAGATAGTTCATTCGATTACATAAAATCAAATTTAACTTGAGAATATCCGTCAGAAAAAAAAATCATAACATGTAATTCGTCTTTACACATGACATGATGACAGTAAAATTCTCCTGTTAGTGATTCCATAGTGAATTATGAGGGAAAAACCAGGAAAAAAAACTCATAATACTATCCCGACATATTTGTTCGTGCATTTAGTTTACCTTCAATAAACACCAAAATTCTGATTTTATATGTTTCGTTATTTAAAAAACATAAATGATGTATCCTCTATATGTTACTGACTTACTAATACTGGTATTTTCTTATTAATAACTTCCTCTTTCAATATTGGTAACCAGATCCTACTACATTCTGCCGAGGAATTTCCACACAATTGGACTCATTTAGCATAATTAGAGCCGCTTCTTTGATTTTTCTTTTTTTACCATCCGTTTCTTTTAGGACTACATTTGAATTATTCCATTGAACCCTATGTTCATTATCCCATGCGTGTTTACATATTTGAGATCTATCAAATTCTCTATTTTTAATATAAGATTGATGTTCACTTATTCTAACATTTAATGGTCTTGATGTTTCACCTAAATAAAACTGATCGCATTCACAAGGTATTTTATAAATGCAATTCTTTGTCCTTTTTTGTTCATTGTTAGGTTTGGTTTTGGACAAAATAGATCTCAACGTGTTTGTTGTTTTGAATGTTGAATTTATTTCCTATCCTTTTAAGTTTGTCTGATAATCCTTTTATGTACGGTATTGTTATTTTCCGCAAATTGCCAGGAAATTTTGACATTCCTGTCAAAATTTCTTGAAAAAAAAGTCAGGACTTCCTTACTGTAAGGAAATGTCATTTCCTTACTGTAAGGAAATGATATTTCCGTACAGTTGTTAGTGTTCTACATAAATGATAGAAGTTTGACAATTCAACCTCAATACGTTTCCATAGTAACCCAAGTAATTTTATTAGGAATTTCAAAGCACCATTTATTTGGGAATAAAATTATCGCGTTTTTTTTAAATCAATCAATATCTGTCGAATTTTAAACGATTTGCGGAAAAATAGTATGTTTACCTCGTAGGAAAAGCCACATTCCTGGATTCTGTGTTGCTAAGTCTCAGCTTGCGCCTCGACTTAGCAATCTTCACAGTCGTCCAGGAATGTTAAGCTTTTCCTACCCGGTAAACAATGTACTATTTCCTCGTATTATTCCTTGTGTATGCTGTAGGATCTTGTTCTAAGTTGTTCTGTTCTATTCGATCGATTGTTCAAAATTCCTTATTTATAAACGATAAAGGATAATCATTTTTTAATAAAACAGATGTTAACAAATGTTTCTCCTCCAAGAACGAATTTTCGTTAGAACAAGTAATTTTGGCTCTATCGTGTAAGGATTTAATTATTCCCTTTTTTACATTAATATTGTGATTTGATTTAAAATTTAAATATCTATTGGTGTGTATTGGTTTTCTATACACCTGAGTCTCATATCCAGTATCGTTCTTAGAGATTAAAACATCCAGGAAAGGTAGCGTGTTATTATATTCCTTTTCCATGGTAAATGTTATTGTCTCTTCTTTATCGTTTATATCATTTAGGAATGTGTCCAATAATTCTGATTCATGAGGCCATATTAAGAATACATCATCTACATACCTCCACCTACTGTGGGTTGTAAATTTTGTTTAGAAATGATATTTGTTTCAAAATCTTCCATAAATATATCGGCTAAGAATGGAGATAAACTAGAGCCCATTGCTAGACCAAAATTTTGTTTATAGAATTCATTATTTAGTTGAAAATATGTATTATCAATACATAATGTTAATAACTCCATTATAGCCGATATGTTTAGTCTTGTTCTAGTTGCCAATGAATTATCACTCTCTAATTTTGTCTTGACTATACTTAAAGTCTTATTTAACGGCACATTCGTAAATAAACTATTTATGTCAAAACTTACCAAAGTATTTATTTAAAAAATGTTGTGTATTTTTTATGAATGTGTCATTTTTATTTGTAAATGGTTTTAAAATATTTAATAAAAATTTTGATAGTTCACTACAATTTAATTTAAAATGCCACAAGAAAATAGCTTCAGAACAATATTAAAATCAATCTGTACAGAGTACGGGCACAACCGCTATATTCAGAAATACCATCCAAACTGAACAATTTGCCGAGTAAATATTCTTTGATGTCATCCATAAAGCGACTACGGACAGATAGCATCTGTGCGGATTAACGAGTGAGAGCGCCCACCAAAGTGGCGTGGCAGTGGCAAGTAGCAAGTAGCACGCGTCTAGCATAATGTAACCCAGTGGTTCTCAACCTTTTTGTGGCGACGGAACACTTTTAATTACCGAAAAAAATTGCGGAACACCAAAGCAATAACATGCATATATTGATAAACAAGTTAGGATTAGCACATAAATTCTGTAATAAACTTTATTATACGTACTCAAATTTGTAAAATTTTACTTAAAATATGAAAACAAAAAACATTTTTAAAATTAACAAAAGCGTAATTCTCAAAACACATCATATGAGTAAATACTTCAAATTAGTGAGACACTTGTGCCTGGTGTCGTTTGCAAATTTGCTTAATATCAGGCCTGATGTGGGAAAGAGATACTCTCATTTCTTGTTCTAAGTTTAGCAGCCTTTCCCGTTTCTTATTTTTAATGTTTGTTAAAGATGAGAACCCAAATTCACATAAATAGGACGTTGAAAACTGTATTAAAATACTAATCGCTTTTTTTGGCAAGAAGTGGATATTCCTCTTGGACCAAGATCCAAAATTCCTGAACATTCACTTCTGAAAACTTAATTTTCAGAGTACGATCAGATGACAACGAAATAAATTCTTCTTCTTGGTTCAGAGAAAACTGGAAATTTGCTGTATTACTTGTGCTAAAAGGACTTCTTATCCAGTCATATTTTTCTACGTTTAGAGATGGAAAATACCTGGCAATTGTCTCCTCTAATAGTGATAAGTGTTCTGTAACTATATGCGTGATTTCTTGTTCTTTATCTTCATCACCTTCATTCTGAAGCAGTGGAAACATATCCACTTTATTTGTCTCTAAAATGCTCTTCTTCCAAAATGACAATTTTTTCTGGAAAGCTGACAGCTTGTCCGTGGATGTTAAAATATTTTCATTTTTGCCTTGCATACTTGAGTTAACGCCATTTAAATAATTAAAAATATCGGCCAAATGTGCCACTTTAGTGCACCATGCATCATTTTTAAAATATGTGGTAAATGTGTCATTACCATCTTCTTCGAAAAAAGTTAACAGCTCCGTTCTAAGTTCATAAATTCGACATAATACTTTGCCCCTTGACAACCATCTAACTTCGGTGTGCAGCAACAAACATTCATACTTTGATTCCATTGAGATGGATGGAGCTTACCTTTGATAGATAAGCCGTACGTAAACGTTATCATAAAAAAACTGACACAGCGATTTTCACGTATTACGTTTGTGCAATGTAACAAATTCAACATTCAGTTGCAGACTGTGACATGGGTGACTCAGATTGGCTGTGGCCACAGAATTTTATTAAATTAAAATGTACGTAAGTGGCTATTTTAAAATTTGAAAATATTTATTTGAAAAGAGTGATTTAGCAAAATGGTATGTAGGATTGCGAGTATTTCACGGAACACTTGGAAGGAGTTCGCGGAACACTAGTGTTCCGCGGAACACCGGTTGAGAACCACTGATGTAACCAATGAAAACGAATGATTCAGTTTACACCAAAATGACAGTAACGTCATTCATTCTAATCATTCGTTAGGATTGGTTACATTATGCTAGACGCGTGCTACTTGCTACTTGCCACTGCCACGCCACTTTGGTGGGCGCTCGCCCTTATGTGGCAAAACCTACAGACCTGAGCATTTTTGCGCACACTTCGTTCGTGCAAATAAATTTGCTTAGGTCAGTACTATTCTATTGTACGTACTAATTCTGAATTGAAGCTGGCAATTTCATAAGACAGGGAGATTCCCTGAGTCCTCTATTATTTAACCTGATTATGGATGAAATAATAAAAAAAGTAAGATCTATAAAAGGATACGAAATGGAAGAAAAACAACTTAAAATAATCTGCTATGCAGACGACGCAATATTGCCAGAGAACTGTCTCTGATATTGCTGTCGAGCAATCAATGGACAAGCTCTCAAAATGAAGATGGTTTATAACGTATTTTGCACAAATTTAATAAAACCGCCAGAAAATTTAACATGACAATTTTTCCAAAAAAGACAAAATGTACGGTTATAACAGCTAATTTACTAAGATGTAAATTGGAGCTGAAAGGTCAGATGATAAAACAAGTGATTTCTTTGTGGGTTTAGACCTGGCCATTTAGCCAATTACGTGATAAAGAAAATAAAAAAAGTGTATGTATGTATGAATCAAACAAAAATAAAGAATGATAGTAAGAA